AACTGGCATCGGTTTCAGAGAAAAAATTTATAAATAGTCTATTGGGTAGATATTTTTTCTTTCTTTTTTACATACATAATAACTATGAATAATTGTGCATCTAAACGTACTTAAATCACATTTTTGTCATTATCCCTCAATGACTTATGAAATATCGAAAATTAGCCACTAGACGAAAAATTTTGACCAAAGTCCAACGTTAAAAAATCCATAATTCCATCACTATTCATAGGACCGCCGAAATTTCTTGAGGATACATAGTACTCAATGCACTCTACAAACTGACATAATTTGAGGGCAGGTTTATAGGTGGTTTCCCCCTCCCCTTAATTAACAGTCCAAAGCTTATCTATAAAAATCAATATCCAGAATATCCAGAAGATGAACGTAACTATCCTATTCAAGCAATAAGAACTCCAGGACATTCTAAAAAAAAAAATTGCATTCAAATGTAAGGCATTATATGAAAACCACAACACTTCGTAGTAAGAAGATCATTTGTTTTGTAGACGTAGGATTGAAAAGTATCAAAATAATTTGTACAAAAACCTGCTGTTTTTGCTGTTTATTTAAATATGATGTTGGAACTTTTTGAAAAAATACCGATCGATCATCTTCAGTGGATGACACACACAAGTTGATATCCTTCAACAATAAAGCATATTTTCGTATAATTTCATATTCTCTTCCAATTAAATAAAGCAATTTAACTGTATAGGAGATGAGATAGCAAAGAGTGAGGGAAAAAGTCATTAAATCGACCTTTGAAGCATTGAAGAGAAACTAAATATTTCGAAATTTATTTTGTCTGAGAGAAGTGATTTAACATTTCTACAACATAATTAGGTGTATGATCCCTTATCACTTTGTTATTAAAGATGAAAGCAAAGACTCAATTTAGCTCAAATTCATAAGAAATACAAGATCCGATATATGCCCGGAATTATCTGACCGAACACTGGCATGTATTTTCCGGAAATCCAGTTTTTAACGTTGTTACAGTACGACTCTCCTAAAATCTTATTCGATTATGGTCAAAATTTTATCCTTGATATCTAAGATTCCAAATTTGTTTTGTTCTTGACTTTCTCTTCACGAATTATAAAAGAAAAAAAAAAGTGACTTGTAGAACCCCGCTGTTTGATTTTTAAAATTCTGTAACTCGAAAAGGTCAAATCATAAACGAAAATTAAATTAAAAAACGAAAATGTTTTCAGAACATAAAGAGGATAAGTAGAACTATTTCATCCTACCCAGGGCATTTTCGATAAATTTATCGCGATAAATTATATTTTTATCCACCCGTCACCGATTTTTCTAGTATCTATCTAAAAGAAAATTCATCGCGATAAAGAACTTTTTCATCGCAGAAATCTCGTTAATTGCGATACCTGTCGATAAATATATCATATTATAATTTGCTATGATTTATCGCGGTGAATTTTTCCTTTCGATAAATAGTAGAAAAATCGGTGACGGGTGGATAAAAATATCATTTATCGCGATAAATTTCATGTTAATAACATGAATAACATTAAACACCGTCTTGGTTGCCGTCGACGGCAACCAACGCCTTAGATTTTGATCCGTAAATTTTGCAAACCATAAGGCCTGTTAGAGCCAAGAATTCTGAACCAAATAAGACATCTGCAAGCATTCTGCCGTGCTTTTTCACCGGAATATTTCGGTGACTTTCACGCCCTTTGTAGCTAATGGTAAATCGACTGCAGTTACGTGAAAGAGGACTATAGAATGCCACGAGATGTCTTATTTTGTTCAGAATTCTTCGCTCTATCAGGCCATATGGTTTGCAAAATTTTCGGACCAAAATCTAAGGACTTGGTTTTCCAGCGGTCAGGTTTCCTTGAAGCTCTATTATCAACTTTTCTCATGAAAGGACGATATGCATCTCTGATAGAAAAATCTTCGGGCTATTCAAAACATTATTCAGATTGGTTCCAGCTCTTACTAAAAAGTCAAAAAAAAGGGAGTTCTTGTGATTATGACACACTGTACACCCAAAAGCTTCTTTTCCATAACTTTAATGACTGGCCCCACCTTTCTGGATATTGTGACCAGCTTACTTTGTAGAGAATTTCAAGGGCTATCCAATGGTATGTTTTCGAACAATACAAACTTTTTCGTTAAGGCAGAAAAACGACTAACAGAGTGTTCAAGGCACTAAGATAGATGAAAATCATTATGATATGATTGGACGTTCATAATAATTACCACATCGATCAAAGTGTTGCATTAGCTGGACGCGAGAAAACAAATTCGAAGAGAAATGGAGTATACTACCAATCCAAACTGCAGCAGAAATTTTCTTGTTCAAAAAGAAGGAAAGAGAATCTCTGGTAAAGAGGAAACATACCACACAATATACCTATGACCCTTGAAAAAACCACATAATACTATAACTAGAAGCTCAATCGTGATAATTTTATCAAGGTTTTTAAAAACCACGATAATTTTCCTCGGAAATTATCGAGATGAATCAGTTATCTTCGGTAATCTTACTAGTTATTGCTATAGCAATAAATGAAAGAACATATATGTTCTTTTATATCGAGACAAAACACGGGAAAATTAATCTCCTCATTCATCGGGATAAAAATTTAATCGTGATACTTTTAGCTTCTTGTCGAGATGACCCTTTTATCACGATAATACTCGATAAAATCTATTGAAGTTTATCGCGATACTTTTGCTTTTGGAGATAAAGATCACACATACAACGATAGTACTTTTATCAGGATAAAGTCCGATAAATATTAATCGCGGTTTATTGACATACTGGTATTTACAACGCTAAATGACTTGTATACCGCAATAGTCTTGCCTACTGCGTTTTATCGAGAGACTGCGATAAACTGCATTCACTTTTATATCGCGACAGAGTTGCTCATTATCGCGATATTTCAGCACATTTAGTATAATATCTCGATATATCGCAAGTTTTCAACAAAAATTACCCTCATGGGTAGCTAATCGTAAAAACTCAAGCTAAAATTTTACTCGAAGAGATTAGATCTGCTGGATTTCGAAAAGCATACGCCACTCCCAATATACCTGTTAATTATAAGATCTCATAAAATAGAACTGAGGAATAAAATAACGATTACAATTTGGCCGAACTTTGCATTTTTGTCATTTCTTAAAACCGACCGTCCACCGCAAAAAACCGTCGGTTAACTAACAATTGAGCGATCAGTAAATTGTTTCCTTGACTTTAGTCTAGGATCATACAAAAAGCTTTTGCGTTCTGTCTGTTTTCAAAAGATGTCTGTCAGGTATTCTGTGAATAACCCAATCAAACGGAACGATAGAAGCTACAGATTAATAGAGTTATGAAGAAGACAACTAACACACAATTGACAAGTGATGACTAAATATACAGAGTGTCAGGGTATATTTACCCGACTATCGACTGATATAGTTGTCATATTTAATCCGTACCTATACAATGTAAAAGAAGGGTTTTATCAATTGTACGGAAAAGTTTTGCCGATCTGAAAAAGTTCACTTTTCAGTCTAATGGGTCTACAAAAAAGCAACAGTGAATATTGTTAACTTTTTTCATCTGCAAATATAATAGAGAGAGTGACCGGCGTGGCCAGCTAACGGTCCACCTTCGGACGAGAAGATTCGAATTTTTGGTTTAACCTGAGCAAAACTTAAAAATACATCATTAGACGCAGTTTTCCACGATGATTACAAATCTGGACTCAAATACAAACGCAAGTCGTCAAATCTTCGTGGTGAAAATTTAAATTTTTAAATATTTTTTCCAAAAATTCTGAGAACTATATCGTCGGATAGAGAATCAAATCCTCTATCAAAGAGCTCGTTTTTTCTCACGTTTTTAGATGCCAAATTTTTTTTTCTTTTCTAAAAAAAGGTTTTGGTCCTTATTTTGTGACCCATTTAATCTAATTATTTAATCTATCCGATTAAAGCTCGAAACTTTATATTCTCGTGATTGACTAAAAATCTTTTTACGCAGCGTTTCGCTTTGTCTCACACTTTCATATTATTTCATAATGTCTCTACTGCGATTTTTGAAAAAGAAATAACCTGATTTTTGAACGGTTTCTCAGTATGTACCAAAACGGTGAAGCAACACAAAATGAGAGAAAATATAATTTTATCACAGAAAAAATGTTCACAAAAACAAGTGGTAAGAATTACAGTTTGATCAGCACACATTTTAGTAATCAGGCGTGGCATGCTATCCTATTGAGAAACTTACTCGAATTTTGTTAAGATCATATGGAAATATTATTAAGATTTTAACAAGATTTCACCTATATTTCTGTAAGATCTTAGACAAACCTTGCTAAGATCGTGAAAATCCGAAAATTCTAAGATTTTATAAAACGACTAGAATTATGAAGTTTTTTGATAAAATTGATATGAAATATGAAACTCGACTCGATATCCAAGATCGAACCATAAGTATAGTGGTTTTCACACTTGTCTCAATGTTTGTTGAGTGAAAGTTGTTAGATACAGTTTATGTATTCATACCGCCCCCTTCTCCCCAAATTCGGGCCACTGGTTAAGGCAGAGACGTAACTCAGATACAGAATTCATTTTTGTGCATCACCTTGTTCCTATTGATTTTTGACAGCGACTAATACGGCTTCCTGCCGTTTCCTTAGATTGTATCTGCTTTTTACTACACAAACGCGACAGATGGTCATTTCTTTGAGAGTAGGTTTTCTGCTAATTTAGTTCCTTCAATCTTGGACGTAATTTTTTCAAATGCAACATCCTTTGATTTTGACATATCATTTAAAAATAGTGAAAAGCCACAATCATCTGTTGTACCCAATTGTTCGACGGATATTATTCGTACTGCATCCAAAATTATGTGGCATACCTCATCAGGCGATTCGATTCGTGTATCAAGTACATTTGTACCATCTAAGAAAACGCGCTGGTTTGGTATAATATTGTCACGAATTAATTTGAGTATACCCTCGTTATTTTGTTTACTAGAAATTGCCAACGTTTAATTCAAATAACACAGGTAATAACCGCGCATAGTCTACATCAGCGCTATGTTTTGAACTTTGTTCACCACTCGAACATGAATGAACACCTAATTTTTGTTGTTCTTCAGCGGTAAAACGTTCCAACACACGATTATCTAAATCGATAAATGATTTCAACAATTTGCTACTTCGATCTAATTTAAGTGATAAACGTCCTTCTGTGAAACCAATTTGAACATTATGTGCACCGTTTTCTAGACATTGTCTAATATCTGCTCCAGCTTCATTTACTAAATCATTGAGAAACTGTTCACGACTATAATTCTGAAGCAGTTCTTCTTATGGATACAATAGAATCAATGCCGAAACAGCGATCACCGCTTGTTTGATCTATAATTTAGTTAGTTGTTTCGCTCGTGTCAAATATTCATCAGCATATGTTTGATATTGAAATTGGCCTTCATGAACAAGTTTTGGTAAGTGTCACGTGTGAACATCAACAAATTGGATAACAATACCACCAGCTGTCACTTGTATGGATTCTTGAAGTGGATACGTGAAAAAACTTGATTTTCTTTGTTCACCGTTCACCATCACTAATGACTGGTGAATGGGTTAAAGCAAATTGTTTAATTGTAACATGTAATGCGTCATCATACAATTGTGATAGGTGATTTTTATCACTGTTGTTCTGTTTGAGTGCGTCAATGAAATACGCGGAACGTGGTATACTGTCCATAGGTTCGGCAGAAATTGTGAGCATGATTCTTTTTTATCACAAAAACAAAATAGTTAATATACACAAAATAGCACTATTCTGCTGCTGTTTCCTTTGAAGACATGAAGTACTCGTGTCTTTCTGTGAAAAAGAAAAAGAATGTAATAAGACAAGAACTTATTCTAGTAGAAAATAATCGAAATATAACTAATGAAGTCAAAACACAATCTATGTGTATGTGTGATATGCATCCGTCTCATTTTGTCTTATAAATGATAGGATACAAGTAGTTAACCGTTTACCCTCAGATGTCCACACGCGTGGACATAGACAAAATCGATATACAAAAATAACGAAGCATCATATCAGAACCGGATCTTATTCCAACCTTGGAGACTTCATAAGCTTTCGATTGGTAAAAAAGAAACTTTTTTGTATGGATCTTGACTGAGATAATTAACTTCTGAAATTAAAGAGTTTCAAATTTTGAATTTTTTTAAAAGCTTTTCCCATAGCTTTAGCAATACAAGGATTTTCAGAAGTAGTGATAGATAACTATTGCTACAAGGATTCTTTCTACAATTACACAAGAAAAGAAATTTTCTGTGAAGGTGTCTTCATGCACCGTGTCCAGTACTCAAATATCCATACCTGTGGACAATAGAAGGGAGTGACATAGAAAGTACTAATTTTTAAACATGTACACATTCTTTTATTCTCTTCTTTTCTTGTAAGACGCAAAATTTTAGTTTTCGTCTTTTTGTCATAGATAGATAGAGTATATCGAGTTGCATAGAAAAACTGAATACCACAATTTTGGAACATATTTTTCGTTGAAAAAATTTTAAATATCAATTTTTCAAAAATATGTGAAAATAGGCAAAATTTTGAATAAAACTCAAAATTCAACCATTCATTCTATTTTCAAAAATTCCAAAATAATTTTTTCTTACTCTCCATCAAAAACTGGGTCTAGAAAACGGATTTTGGAAATTTTGAAACTGAAATTGACTTTGAGAACTGTTGATGACGAGCAGGATGGTAAAAGACCCGCTGGCTAATCATGCAAGCCTATCTAGTTCGGAAGATAAAATTCTCTTTCATACTTTATTCTAACTTATATACTCATGAGAAAAAAAGTATTTGCCGATTTTGAAAAATTTTACTTGGTTGTCGAAAAATTCAATTTTTATGAATTTAGCATGAAAAACTCTAAAATTGGATCTGTGCTTTGCCATCTTCTTGGTCAAAATTCAACATTTCGACAAAAACAAGGTCATAGTCAGATTCAGGGGCAAGAACTGCGTTGAATGACATGGATGCCAGGAGTTTTGCATGACCTCGAAGTTTTTCGTTTTTTTCAAAAATTCAAAACTAAAATTTTCACTCAAACTCAAAATATTCCCCAAAACACTGAGACCCATGTCATTCGATCCAGTTTTTGATCATGATTCCGAATATGACCTTTTTTTCTCAAAATGTTGAATTTTGACAGAATCAGTATCGGATAACACAAAGAAAAAAATTGTGTTTTTCACATTGTTTCTCTCTAATATCCACACCTGTGGACATTTTATATTCTGTCACCTAGGCAACTTCATTTTATTTTAAGTATCGAATGGGTATAGTGAGCACTCAAAAACTCCACTTTAGTAGTCATCTTTCTTGGATCTTTGAAAAAATGCTCTCCGGGGGTAAAGGGTTAAGAATAGGAATAGTTATCATAATAAATCTTTCTTTATTTTCTCTGTCAGGCGTATATCCAGATAGTGGTTCACAGTGGGCATTTTTTGCTAGAGCAGGCGGACTTTAGCTTTATGAGTGAACTAAAATTTCATGAACCATTTTTTTATAGGTTTTTCATGATCCTCTTTCTAATGGCATGAGAG